TGAGACAGCATGTGGAATGTTTAGCAGTCAAGCTTGATTGAGCATGTGAGCATGGTCACGTATTCTATGTTTGCTTATCGCGTCTCAGAGGACTGCAAAGGAAAGAAATATGATGTAAAAAACATCTGACTTTTGGTGCCTCTGGACTCAAACAGAACCACTCAAATATTACAATAGAATAAAATGAAGTTGAGTGCATTAGACTCAGTTAAACAATGACCTTTTGGCCCAAAGGAAATCAATATTAGGGAATCAATAATGCCTTACATATAGATCAATACTGTCCACAAATGCAGTTATTTGGCTTCTCCTGAGGCTTTCATTATGGATTCCTGAAACAAAAAGCACATTTCAGTCCAAACTACACACTTCTGATGTTTAATGCCATACAAAATGTAGTACACCTGTCTGTGGATGTTTTGTGCATTTTTCTTAGTTTAAGGTAACTAGTTACTTTGATGTAGATCTTTATAAAGATGAAGGAAGAGCTGAGCAGGAAGAGGAAGGCTGGTAGTTAACCAAGGGCACAGGTGCTGAGATGAGAAAGCGAAAGAACATTAGCCCAGAATAACATAACGCACAGAGGCAGAGGTGAATAAATTCACCTTAATGTCTGGTAAAAGGAGAGACTGGACCTCATTGAGCCAGTGTGGGGGACTGAGCGCTAAACTGTCTAACTCATCCTCTGGCTTCCCTACCGCTGCTCCGCTTGAGCTGTAATCCCAATCAAGGGGATTTGTGTTTGAGGTCATCACACTAACTGCAGAAAGAAAGGACACACACACAGGTGCAATCAAACATATACATTCACACGTGCACATTCATTCCTTAAGGACTGTACATTTTGTACAGCTGAGATAGAGAATTTAGCAAAAGCACCTATGTGATTGTAATCTGTTTGCATGCATCTGATTTTGTACTGTCAGATGTATGTGAACAACGTTACATTCAAGTTCCAGATAAGATGGTAACGTTGTCATGCATGTCCGGTATCTCATGCATCTTGTCTTTTATTTCCTTCTGTGCATTAGTGAGTGTGTCTTCTAACACAGTTGAACTGCTTCATTCACAGTTTGATGGCTTCAGGAGGAACAGCATAGGCGTGTATAGAAAGAGTAAGTAACACTGTTAATACATTTTTCTGCAATATTACTTCATTCAAATCATTGATTACTTGATTCAAATCAAGTGTCAAATCTGACTGACTCAAACTTCAAGCCCACTTGAATCAATGGCTAACATGAAAACAATGTGTTTCAACTTAATCATTGCTGCAGACTATGCCTCCATGGCTATTGCCTCAGCCTCTCTGGCTATCCCCTGTGTCCTGTCGTGCTCAGACTCCAATGCCAGCAATGGGACGTCCACCATGCCTGCTGTTCCTCCGCTCAGCCCCGTTGAAGTTGAGAAGGCCGCTGCCACCATCCAGACCCATTTCAGGAAGTTCCAACAGAAGAAACATAAGAACGGCAAGTAGATGGACAAAGAGGGATGGCGGTACCTGTACTGTGTGGGAGGCAAAAGGAAGCATGTGGGGACGTGCTTGAATGTGGATTCAACAATGGATGAACTCTGTGATAACACAAGCATATGATCAATCATATTCAAAAGTACATACAGTCAAATCTCCTTGATTAATGACACAGTATAAACAATAAAATAAGAGTAATAGCTTACATTTCAAACAGCGTAGTCATAATATCTACGATTTTATGTGAATTATGTATTATAATTCAGTGTACATCTGAATGAATGCTAGTTTTGATATGCTGTGATGATGCGAGTATGCTGTAAGTATATATAACCAGTGTTTGAGCGTATTAGTAAAGAAGAAAATCAAAATCAAATAATTTGTAAACATGTGGGTCTTTCAAAAACAAATTGTACAAACCTGTTAATAAACTCCTCTGGAAGCCTTTGCTGTGTTTCATTGCAGAATGATGCCCTCTAGTTCTGAATTATATTAACATCATGTCCAGGTGTTGACAATAGAATATTAGCCTTTGTTATATATATACTGTATATATATATATATATATATATATATATATATACTGTATATATATGTATATAAACTTCATGGTTGTGAAATAATGAATAACAGCATCACAGTTCATAAAAAGATAGCTTTATTGCACAAGGTGTTGAGTACTCTTTTTCTGTTTTTGTTTGTTTTCATAGAAAAGAAAATGTAGAGTTAAACACAAGCAATTGCAAATTGAAGCAATGTTTCCCCATAAAAGTTTAAGGAACAACATCTGCATTTTTAAAATGTTTTAATTAAACCCCTTTTAAAATTGTTAAATTCACCATTTCCCTTTTTTTAATAACCAGCAAAATTTTCAGAACATGCAATGCTGCCGTCCTCCTCCCACCCCCCACCCCCAAAAATGTGGAATTTAAAAAAAGGCAAAATCCAAATCAAGCAACCTGTGACAAAGTAAAAAATCAAAATCAAAAAAAGATTTAAAAAAAAAAAAAACAATAAAAAAGAGACAATGCAACCAAATGCCCTGTAAAAGAAGAAATAAATATTGTTACCTATGCATGGTCCACTCTGATCGATAAATCAAGATAAAGCAGTGTCTGTATAGTTCTATAGTTTCTCATTAAGTCCTCTTCTGTTTCATTACAATAACGTCAGTTCAAAGTTTACATTGTGCCCTGGTTTCTAGTGAAGATGTCGAAAATAGTACTCATTTATACAAAACACTTTCCTATGTACACAAGTTTCCTATTATGGATAGAAATAATGTTTAACAAGTGGGCAAGGGGTCCAGTGAGAGGGGAAGATCTGATTGGTGGAGCAGATGTGGAAAAGCTTGGGGAAGTAGCACATGTGAAGTTGGCCTCATGAACACAGACTCAGTTTTAAAAGTATTTTTATTGTATTTTAAGGAAAAATCCACCCTGAATCACTCATTAGTCATTGAAACATTGCAGATGTCTGGCCAATTAAGAAAGGCTGCTGCCAAGAAATGTTCTGCATCGGGAATAAAAAGAACTGTACCGTAAATGTTGGTGTAGAGTATGTTTACCAATCTGGCAGGATTGCATTTGCCTTGAAAACAAGTCAATTTTAGTTTTGGCCCTAAAATGAAATGTATGATGATAAAAGGACAACAAAGTCCAGAATTCACCAAAGTACTTCTGCAGTACTGTGCACTTCTAACAGGTCAGGGTGTGTGGAATTGAATACAACAACAAATATATTACACTTGAATTGAAACATCTTGGAAAACATTAAAGGCATAGTTTGATATTTAGGGAAATACGCTTATTTGCTATATTCCCGTGAGTTTTATAAGAAGATCAAAACATCTTAGAAAGTAACAAAATCCACCTGCCAGCATAAAATAGCTCACTATTTTACATTTTGTTTGTTTAGTCTAAGTGTAAAAACGTCTTCGCTGGTTGCCTGGCAGCCACACAATGAGGACAAGACTTCTCCCGGCCGTGAAATATTCCAGCACATAACCTCTGTAGAACCACAACTTGTCATTTTTACACTTTCATATTTTTATCGAACTCTTAGCGAGAAAGCAAATAAGCATTTTCACAAAATATAAAGCTATTGTTTTTAGCATTACTTTACATATTGTTCTCAGTAACAGTGTAAAAGTAACAAAGGGTGTAATTTTCCTTAAAGGTATACATTTCATATACTTTTAGCAAACTGAGTTTTTTTTTTTTACAGTAGAGGCAATTTCACTGAAGAATTGGGGAAAGCAGGTTGGACAGGAGTTAGTTTCATCACTCCATCCAATATCCATACAACTGTTTTTGGTCACTTAAACAAGCTTCCCCCATTTCCAAACTCTTGTTTTACTGAAAACAAGTATTTGCACAACTTGAAACATAAAGGCCAAAAGGAAAGGCAACCTACCCCTTAACACAGGTAAGCTTTTAATTCATTACTTTCCTGTTAGGATTCAAAATTAAAGGGAGCATAACACATATATGAGCAGTTCTAATCGTTACTGTGTGGTGTTTTTAATAGCCTGCAGTCCTGGAGTTTGGGGAGGACTCACTATGACACAGATAAGAAGCAGAAATACTTGTCGGTCTGTTTCTCTTCATTAATTATAGTCAGGTAATGGCATTGAGTTTGTGAACACACCTTTGGAAGGTACAATACAACATATTACAATAGGCTCACTTACTGTATAGGCTGTCCACACTCTCTGCACTGAGCCATAGACCACAGTTAACCAGCAACACAATCTCACACTATAATTTGACTTTACTGTGCTTGTCTTCTCAGCTGCTACCTGCTGCACAGGCATTGCAGCTGGAACATTTACAAAATCACAAGGGGGTCATAGTATCATTCCTCAAACCTCCGTCTCAG